CTTCACAATTGGCCGATAGGTCCATTGCGTATCCCAAGGGTAAAATAGAGGATATTTTGGTCCAAGTCGATAAATTTATTTTTCCGGCCGATTTTTTAGTTTTGGACTATGAAGCTGACAAGAATGTCCCCATCATCTTAGGACGACCTTTTCTTGCAACCGGAAGAACCTTAATTGATGTTCAAAAGGGGGAGTTGACCATTAGAGTTAATGATCAAGAAGTGAAATTTAATGTGTTTAATTCTCTTAAGTTTCATGGAGAAGTAGACGATTGTTCAGTTATATCTGCTTTAGGTGAAGATCTAGAAATAAGTTTGATTGACGTTACCTACAAAAATCACATTAGGGAAAATCTTGAGGACATTTTAGAAGAAAATGATGAGTTGGAAGACTTGGAAGATTTAGCGGCATTTGAGCAACTTGACTTTAAGGATATAATTGTCCAACCACCATCCATAGAGAAAGCCCCCGATTTGGAGTTAAAGCCATTACCTAGTCACCTTAAGTATGTTTATCTTATGAAGTAGGGAAAATTACCCGTAATTATTTCTTCGAAATTAAGTAATAAGCAAGAATTGAGGTTGATAGAGGTATTAAAAACTCACAAAAGAGCCATAGGTTGGACCATCGCAAATATTAGAGGAATTAGTCCCTCCCTTTGCCAACATAAGATTATCTTGGAAGAAAATAGAGTTGGCAAGGTTCAACCGCAAAGGAGACTAAATCCCATTATGAAAGAAGTTGTAAAGAAAGAAATCTTGAAGTGGTTAGACGTGGGTATTATATATCCCATTTCTAGTAGCGATGGGTGAGTCCGGTGCAATGTGTACCGAAGAAAGGTGGAACTACGGTTATCACCAACGAAAAAAATGAGCTCATCCCTACTAGGACCGTAACTGGATGGCGGATTTGTATGGACTATAGGCAATTGAATCTAGCAACCAAAAAGGACCATTTTCCTTTGCCCTTTATTGACCAAATGCTATATCGATTGGCCGAAAAAGAATATTATTGCTTTTTGGACGGTTACTCGGGTTACAACCAAATTCACATAGCACCTGAAGACCAAGAGAAAACAACTTTCACTTGTTCTTTCGGAACTTTTGCTTTTAGGCGTATGCCGTTTGGTCTTTGTAACGCACTGGCAACCTTTCAACGGTGCATGATGTCAATTTTTTCGGACATGATTGAGGATACTATGGAAGTGTTTATGGATGACTTTTCCGTAATTGGTACATCTTTTGAAAATTGTCTTGACAATTTAAAGAAAAGTTTGGAAAGATGTGAAACTCATGATTTAATTTTAAATTGGGAAAAATATCATTTTATGGTACAAGAAGGAATTGTTTTGGGTCACATGATTTCTAAAAAAGGTTTGGAGGTTAATAAAGCAAAAATTGAGGTAATATTGCAATTGGTCGAACCTTCTTCGGTCAAAGGCATTCGAAGTTTTTTGGGACATGCGGGTTTTTACCGTAGATTTATTAAGGATTTTTCAAAAATTGCAAAACCCTGTGTAATTTGTTGCATGTCGATCAAGCTTTTGAATTTACCTCCGATTGTAAAAAAGCTTTTGAAACCATTAAAAATGCTCTTCTCTCGACACCTTTTGTCATTGCTCCAGATTGGACCATTGATTTTGAGGTTATGTGTGATGCAAGTGACTGGGCCGTAGGTGCCGTTTTGGGACAAAGCGAAACAAGATTTTTCACCCCATCTACTACGCAAGTAAAACCTTGGTGGAGGCTCAGTTAAATTATACCACCACCGAAAAGGAATTACTTGTGGTAGTATTTGCATTCGATCGTTTCCGATCCTACTTGATTGGCACCAAAGTTACCGTTCATACGGACCACTCTGCCATCAAATATCTCTTTAATAAGACCGACTCTAAGCCGAGACTTATTAGATGGGTTCTTCTTTTGCAAGAATTCGATCTAGAGATAGTTGACCGCAAGGGATGTGATAATCAAGTAGCCGATCATTTATCAAGGATCGAAAGCAAAGTTTCAAGCGGGGGAAACCATGTGATAAAAGAAACTTTTCCCGACGAGTACATTTTGGCAATACAAGAAAATCATTCAAATGTACTTCCATGGTATGCCGATATTGCCAACTACCTTGCTTGTGGACTTAAGCCATATCATCTTCACGGTCAACGTTTTAAGAAATTTCTTCATTACTGTAAGCACTACTTATGGGACGATCCATCTCTTTACAAAATAGGAGCTGATCAGGTCTTGTGAAAATGTGTCCCGAATTTTGAAATCTCATCTTTGTTGAAGGATTGTCACGCTTCACCGTATGATGGCCACTTTGGTGGACAACGTACGGCGGCAAAAGTTTTACAAAGTGAATTTTTTTGGCCTACATTGTTTAAAGACGCATTTAATTCTGTGAAGAGATGTGAACAGTGTCAAATAATGGGAAACTTGTTCCAACGAAACGAGATGCCATTAAATAACATTTTTTGTGTGCGAACAAATGCATACTCTTTTCATGATAATGAGAAATTGGCTGGAAACGAAGTGTTTAAAGAAAGGACACATGATGTCACCTTGAGGTAAACTTGGGAGATTGTGAAAAGAGGGTTTTTGAGTCATATCATTGGCTAAGTATATCTTAGATGATTAGCCGTTGATATGTGGGTTTTTAGGCAAAAATGTTTTAAAAAAAGAAAAATAAATGGGAAGAGGGTAAAAAGAAATTGTTACATATTTTTTTTCAAGGATGATGATGAAGAGCAAGATTTTATTTTAAAAATGACCAATTTTTGAAGAATTTTTGAAAATAAAATTTCCAAGAGTGTATTTTCAGCATTTGTCTTTTTGAAAATTTTGGGTATAATACTTGTATTGTGTATAAAGTACTTGTACCCTAGGAGGAGACATCATGAAAATGAGGTCATTATTTGGTCATTCTTTTTTGAATAAAATAGTTTGTCATCATAGTCTTACAAATCACTTTTTCATCGTTTCCATTCCCAAGACCTTTTTAAAATTTTTAAATCAAAACCCACCAAACTCTTTTCTTTCTTTCATCTTCACTCTTTCGTCTCCTATTTCTTCTTCAAAAGAAACCGCCGACCAAACTCCCTCCTCTATGGCAAGACCCAAGCAACCGGTGAGAAACCACCCATCCCGGCGTTCACTTCGCCGGCGAAAGACCACCGTTGCTTCCACCGCCAGTACGCCGCTGACGACCGCACCTATTGCATCCTCGTCGGCCAAGCCATCTTCATCGGCGACGGGAGGATCCTCCACCGCTAGTGCCATCGCCGCGAGCACCATTGCCACTTTTCGCTACCCCACTCCGGCGACTGTAAGTACTCCTCCTCCATCTTCATCCACACAACACTCAACCCCAACCACCACTGTACTCTCTTATGATGATGATGGTATGGCTGTCCTTACAAGGGTGGCTCTATCATCTCATTTGGCCGAATCATCCTCAACCCCAAAACCATTTTCCATTTCATTGAGTACTTCATATGCCCCTCCCACGATTGCACCCTCAAGACCCATTTCTACTCCCATCCAAAGTGATGAGGAACCAACCCTAGCCCCTTCACCCACGGCTTCCCCAAAACACTCACGGTTCGATTTGAACCAAATGGGGGAGGGTGAGGATGATGGCTTGAATGATATCACATTTGATTTTGAAGGTATACCGGAGGGAGGACAAACCGAGAGTTACCCATTCGAGACACCGTCAACTTTTGGTGCCGGAAAAAAGCCCGATAAAACCCCCGAAACAGCCCCTACTGTTGAAAGGAGGCAAACTCGTTCATCGAGTCAAGCTTCGGGTGGGCCGAAGACTAGGTCCTAACAATGGCGGGAAAAGGGTAAGACAAAGATGACGGAGGCTCTGGATGATGATTATGAGCCGGAAGAGGAAGAAACTCCAGTCCCGACACCGCGTAGACGATGGACTGTTTCACGATCGAGAGGTACATCTTCATCCTTTAATGACCGGTTGGATCTTATATGCAATAATCGATTTTTGTGTGAACGGGCTTTTGACCCGAAACTTAGTGAAAAACTCATGTGCGTTAACCACCATTTACTTGCACATCATTGGGAAAACATGATTGTCATCCCATGCAAAGTAAACGAGACGTTAATGAAGGAATTTTTTGCGACTATCGGGACTTCCAAAAATGACACAATTGTCATTCGAGGAACGCGGGTCAATTGGATGGCACCAAAGTTAAACTCGATGCTTGGTCTCACCGCTCCTTTTGTTTTCCCTTACCGATAATTTATCGATGGTGGGTTTGATGTGCCGGAAGAAGATATTGCACGAGCCCTTCTTTTACCCGGATACGGTTGGTCGCAAGACAACCGTCAGAAGATTATGATGTCCGGGCATTTGACTTTACAGGAAACCCTATGGTTTCAGTTTGTGCGTCACAATATCATGCCTTCCATGCATGATCGTACATTTTCTCGGGCGAAGTGTATTTTGGTTTATTGCATCCTAAAGGAACTTCCAATCGACGTGGGCTCTCTCGCTTATTCTATGATACTAACATCAACTGTGCGAGCTAGTTCGCGTTTGATTTTTCCAGGTTTGATCACGAAGTTGTTGACAGCCGCGAATGTACCTGTTTCGGAGCATGATATCATCACCTTCAACAATTCCTTGCTCGATCAAGGTACGGTTAACCGCATGCACAAGCCGGACCAAGAAAATGCCGACTTAGCCGACGATGTTACGGGCCCGCAAATGTCACCTGGACTTGCTGCCAACAGTCCTCGAAGGCCCGAAGACCCTTCTGTTCCAACTTCTTCACCTGCCGCAAATACCCCTCCAACCAATACCGACATCCCGCCGATACCACTTACAGCCACGGGGTATAGTTTGGAGGTTTGGTTGTCACTTATGGCGAGTCAATGGGAGGAATGTAATAAGAAGATGGGAACGATGGTGGATGCTTTAGCAAAGAATGCCGAGATAATCACGCATGTGGAAGATCGAGTTGCCGGACTAACGGCGTGTTCGGAGAAATTTTGGATGTATACCCGATATCGGAACCGGGTAGTGAACAGGTTCCTATCGCACAAGAATGTAATGCTAGATTCGGAGATTCCCCATTTTCCTGGAGGCCTTTGCCCTCCTCAAGTTAGGCTACCGAAGATCAGACGGACTACCATCCCGGATGCCACGGGTGAGGCATCCGCCAGTCGGGACGATACGGGTAAAAAGGATTGATCGTCTTCCTTGATGTTTCATTATGATCTTTTTCAACTCAAAAACAATATTTTTTTGGATTGGGTGTTTAACTTTATCCGAACGCCTCCTTTTGTGTTCATATATGGTGGTCGTTGATTGATGTCTTTTGATACTTGCTACTCTAACTTACTTTTGTTCTTTTGGGYGTTGACAATTTATTGGTATATCGTTGGCTTATTCTTCATTTTTCAGGTGCGATTTCCTTGATGAGATTTTTGGGTTGCAAAAATTAAAATGACGTAGGCCATCTTTCTTTTTGGCCCAAACACTTTCCATTGTTACCAGACCAAACACTTTAAACCCATTACTCCAATGAGGACATTGTTCAGTTTAAGTTTGGGGGAGGTTGTATGTCAAAGTGTTGAGAATTTTTTTTTTGAAGTACCAAATGTCTTCGGAAAATTGGAAGACATAAAAAATAGAAAAAATAAAGCAAAATGCTTTAACAAAATGACACAAAGTGAATATCACTTCTTGGGTTTTCTTGAAAGTGTCAAAGACACAACAAAAATAGCCGAAAAGTCGAAATCATTCAAAGCAATTGTTGTCATTCTAAGACAAGTTTGGGGGAATTTTTTTAGCCAAAAACACTAACCCGATAAAAGTCCCACCGATTTATTTTTGCATCTCGAAGATCAAAGAATGGAAGTCGTATAACATTCAAAGCCCGACGATACTTCAACGCCCCTCTGTAAGTTATGATTTCTTGTTCCTCTTTGTTCATATTCCGTTTATTTTGATTAATTGAGGACAAGTAATATCTTAAGTTTGGGGGTGTGATAACTCTTATTTTTAAGAGTTATTTCCTATTTATTTTCTCCCTTTTTGTTATTATTAAATATCCAATTTTCTTGTTTTTATCCTTTATTCCAAAAAGTTTTAGAAAGATGATGAAACACAAAGGAAGAGGTATTATTCCAAAAATTGTATTTTTCTGACAGCACTGCCCACTGTGGCCCCACTATGGGAAGTCTACCAGCCTTGTTCCAACTTCTTGGGAAACGTGCAGCTTAAAGATTCCTCCAGATATTTTCTACAGCTGTTTATGAGCTGTCTTCCTTCTTCTATTTTTTTTTGTATTTTCTTAACCTTGTACTAATTACCCTTGGGTAATGATTGGGTGTTCTTGCCCCATTCTTCTCCCCTATATAAAGAGGCTTGGGAGAACCATTTTGAGGGTGCCAAACACCATTTTGATGTGTGCCCAACACCATTTTGAAGACATAACTCTCTAAGTGTGTCTCTTCTCTTTTAGTAATTAATATTATGCTTTTTAAATGCTTTTTAATTTATTTTTTTAATTTATGTCTTTAATTTATGTCTTTAATTTCTAGTATTTTACTTCCTTGTACTTGTAATTTAGTTTTATATTAATGCAATTTATATTTCAATATTATTTTATGTCTTTAATTACTTTCATTATGTCTAGCTAAATTACTCGTATGGGTGTGGGTGTGAGTTTAACTTAGGATGTTTATATAATATTTGGGTGTTTTAATCTTTTATCACTTCGTAAGTTGGTCACTTAAGACGGTGCTTCAAATGCGGGTAAGCTGATCACTTTAAAGTATTAATATTAGATCTTAGACCCAGAGATGGGCGGATCCGAAATACGGCTTAAGTGATGCACAATGAACTCGAGAGGGTCTTTGAATAATTACGTAGAGACGCGAATTTTGCATGCATCTAGCTAGAGGTTAAGCAATAGGTATTTTTATCACAAAGAGATTTGGGTAAGAATCGCATTCCTTTTACTTTTTAGCTAGATCGGCAAGTTCCAAAATGATAAACGTAAAAACCTTGTGGAATTTTATGAGGCTCGGTTATAAAAGTTCACTTTCGAGAGATCGGAACTTTTATAAACAACTTGTAAAAGTCTAACCATTTTATTGTTAATTTTATCTTAAGCAACACTTGCACCCATGCCCGTCATTTAATATTAGAAGTTTATTTCGTTAATCAGCTAGTCGGTCCTATTTAGGTCTTTTTATAAACAAAAATCCAACTTTATTTTACATCTAGTAACTTGTGCAAGAAGTTCATGAAAAGTTTCTAAATCTCTACCTTCTCTGTGGGAACGATCTCGGTACTTTGTACCACTTTATTACTTGCAAGCGATCATAGTGTCGGCGTGCTTTTGCACCGTCACTGTGGGGACATTCTGCACACTAAGAGAATACAAACGATTCTAGCCTGTCAATGAACTTAATGCAATTGACAATTGAATTCCAAGTCTGTGACTGGATTAAATTAGTTGATTAGAGGCTAGTTATCGGGGCATCTCGTATTAGTCATGTTTTTATATCAAATAAAACATCAATGCGTATTGTTGTTCAAGCCGATTTGAAATCCTTTGAGAAAATGGTTTGGTTGGGCCGATGATACATAATTCACATGATTAATCAATTGATGCTCATTGCTAGATTATTTTGTATATCGTCTAGAATCTTTATTTAATTTGCATTTTTTAACTTGTTTATAAATCATCCACCCCCTTTATATAATGTTTTTATTTTTAATGAAATTGCACGTGATTACGTCTTGGATTTGCGGTTAACATCGAGTCCCTAAGGAGACAACCCTACTTATCACTATCACAATCCATCGTGTTTAAAGGTATTAAGCTTAATTTTATAACTTTTATTATTTGCCAGACTCGACATAAAAAAAATGTGTTATTTTAATTAATTTCCTTATTTTAAACTATCATGTAAATAAGCAAAGTTATATCATATGTTGACTGTGTACTACAGTCAAAGACCGAGGTGTCGTCATATTTCCACTGACAAACAATATACCCTTGGCCTTATCAACCTCCTATGCGTACCAGGTCACTTCAACTTCCCTTAACCTGCACTCCCAACGTGTCTTCTTATCCTACGCCCCACCCTCTCATCATTATTTATTAAATAAAGGCGTTGACATTTGTCGGCGTTAGGTTCATTTCGGTGAACAAACACGCGTTGGAGGGCGCGTGAGAGGGGGGCATTTTGAATGATTGCATGCGTATGATAGCCGGAAACCGAAGCTGATCATGAATGTGTCTAGGGATGTCTTTCTTTTTATGGTAATAATAAGGATCATATTTATTTCAAATTTAACTACTACTTTTTAAGAAAGAAAAAGAAAAAAAAATATTAAAACTCTATTTATTGTAGGTTTTTATGTAACTTTTTATATTTGTACAATCAATACAACTTAATTTTAACCGTCCATTTAGTTAGATGAATATGTGGTTTCACAAAAGTTTAGATTACTTCATAATATAAAGTATTGATTATAATTAATGAACTTTAGTCATCTTTCATAAATATTCAAATTATCGTAAATGAACTCTCATCATTTCCATAAATATTTCAATTGATTGGGTCGTATTGGTAGTACAAATGTGATGGGTTGTATTTGAAACGTCCTCTAAATTTGTATGGTTTTTGAAACAATAAGAAAATCTTATGTTAGTTATCAGTTTTATATATTATTTTTGTCGTATTACTAGAGTTAGAGGTCGTTTACTAAACATTTACCCAGTAAGTGCTTACCGTTAAAATTTAACACTATTATTTACTTATCGGGTAAGATTTTAGTCCACCAAA